AACTTTATTTTCAAAGAAAACACAACAAAAAGCCGCCAATGGCTTATTTTGTAATCACCAAAAAAAAAAATTACGAAAAAAAAGGACCCAGTTTCAACTAAAACAAAAGCTAAACATGCTCGGTGTAGCAAAATTCTTCACCATTTTTCCACTGATACACTACACCCCAATAAGAAAAAGGAACTAACTTTCAAAATTTTAAACTTAACAGTAAAGTCAATGCCACAAAAACACATTATCCTACTGCAATTAAGTACACTATTAGCTCAAAAATCAATGACACCATAATTAAGTCTCCAATCACCATCTAAACACAACAACAACAAAAAAAAACAATGTAACTCAATCAAATTAAAACCAAATTAAAAATTTCAACTAATATTATCAAATTAATGAAATTCACATTCATTCAATCACCAATAAGTAAGAAACAAACTATTCCAATCACAAAAACCCTAATTCGAGCAAAACAAGATTAGGGTTCTTGAAAAAAAAGACAGGTTTGAAAACACAAAATCCAAACGCGAATTATGCAATAACCACGAGAATTCAACAGTACGGAGGTAATAAAGAAGCGAACCGGAATCGAAACGTACCACCATTGAAGGATAATTAGATTACGTGAGAGATCGAAGATGGTAGAGAGATAAGGAAAACGAGGGATTTTTTTCAGAGAGAGAAATTGTGAGGGTCCCGCAGAAAAGGTATAGGGATTGGCGTGGTTAATTTGGGGATTATATATAAAGGAAAACAGTTCCGCTTGAATCAGGACCGTTAATCAGGTGGATTTTCTATTGGTGGGGTCCTGCTAGGGTGTGGTGGGGGGGCATAAAGGGAAGGGGAAGAGTTTTGGTGTCCATGATGGAAAGAGGAATTAGAATATACTAATTTTATTCACTTGAGACATGGAAAATGATTGAATCTAAATTTTTGTGGTTCTGTGGGTGGGATTTTATGATGGGATGGGAAAGGAATAAAAGGGCAAAGGTTGTTGGCGTTTTACTTAGAAGTTGACTTCGTTTGACTTTGGAGTTCTGAGTTTTTGGATAGGGTATTTTTGTGTTGTGGACACTTCCCCTGGACCAATTAGCTGTTTGGAACTTGCAAAGAAGAAAATGTGAGGAAATTTCATGAGTCTTGGAAAATTAATGTGAAATAAATGAAGATAGCTTATCCATTTTTATTAGGTTTTGTGTATGTTATATATTCTTTATCTTGGTATTATTAAACACGGTTTTAGTACTATCAAACACACAATTGTCAAGTGTAGGAAAAAAAAATCAACTCGAATATGACTTAACTGATATTTTACAACTTAATTTGAATTTTAAAAAAATTAAGATGAAATAATTTTTATTTAAAGAAATATGATAACCTTTTGCTTGAGTTGATTTCAAGTTAAAGTTGAATAATAATAATAATAATAATAATAATAATAATAATAATAATAATAATAATAATAATAATAAT